CAGTCGATTCCAACTCATAGTGACCTTTTAGGACAGAGTAGAAGTGTCCAATAGGGTTTCCCAGGCTGTCAATGTTTATAGAATAGGAGCTCTGATGGCGTAGTATCTAAGGCATTTGACTACTAACCAGAAGGCTGGAGGTTCAAACCCACCAGCCACTCCTCAGAAGGAAGATTGGGCAATCTACTTCCATAGGATTTACCACCTCTGAAACCCAAGGAGGGGTTGCATTGAATAGGAAAAGACTTAAAAAAGAAGCAAAGCCTAAACCACACCCACTGCCATCGAGTTGATTCCGACTCACAGCACCCCTAGAGGACAGAATGGAACTGCCCTGGAGCATTTCCAAAGCTGAGGGGTCGCTATGAGTCGGGGCCGACTCGACGGCAAACAACAACAACAACAACAATCTTTACAGAAGCAGAATGCTTCATCTTTCTCCCATGGAGCTGGTGGTGGCTTTGAACTGCCATCCTTTTGGTTAGCAGCTGAATCCTCTACCCACTGTGCCACCAGAGGTCCATGTCCCTGCCAGCTGCCACGTTTCTAACAAGGAAGCATGGTGGCTGTCACTTCCAGAAACCCACTCTTTCCTCCTGTTTTGAAGTTTGGGAACAGCTAGCCCACCTCCTTCTCCCTTCCCACCTTCCCTCCCTGCAGTGGTTCCAGAAAACAGGGTGAGGCTCCACTGTCACCCGTATTTTCTGGCAGTTCATGAATAGTTCACGTATGAAAACACACACTGTGTTCCGGGATCCCCCAGGGGCGCCGTGTCCCCAGGGGCTGTCAATAAACCCTGGACACCGGTCCCAGGACGTGAACGCTCCCGTCACGTGGAGATGGCGCTCATCACCAACCCATCCTCGGTGATCGCCCGTGATATTGACTATGCCAGCAGTCAGGTCTGTGTCGGCAGGCATTAAATCTGCCACCTCAGGGGAGAGTGTCAGGGAGGACACACCCAGCCTTGCAGCGTCACCAACTCTCTAGGTCAGGGCCTGCTGTGCCGACGTGGCTTTCCAAGCTTGGCAAACCCCAAGTGACCCAGCTGAACTTGTGCTCCTGCGACCCGGGCTCCACTTGCCCACTGATCCCCTGTGCCCCCAGTACCCGCTGGGTCCTGCAGGTGCCTCGGCAGAGGGCGGGACCACTCCCTGAGGGCTTCCATTTTAGGCCAGAAGACAAGTGAATGTTTACCGCCACCCTTCGTGGCAGCCTCCCCTTTATTTAGGGGGATTGGTTCCCTGTCTGCCCTGGTGGGTTGCCCGTTCCCTCATTTTCTCTCGCTCCTGTGCAGTTGATTTATTTAAAGGTATGTCACCACGGGGCTGGAATGAGGAGCAAGGCCCTGCTTTCTGCTGACGGCCAGCCGCTCCAATAATTCATTTTTTAGCTCATTAGCTAACAGGGGATGTGAGCCGTGGGCCTCGGGGGGATTGGAACGAGGGGCAGTGATCTACTGCCGGCAGCGCTGCTCTTGAACTGGCCTTCCTTGGGGGAGATGAGAAGCTCAGCCGGGCCAAACGAGGCCCCCAGAAGGGAAATTGGGGCATCAGAGTATCAATTAGAGTGTTTGTGCGTTTGCGTCGTGATTCCTGAGGGGACGGGTTCTAGGCAGAATCCTGTCCGGGAAAGAATTCATTTTTGGATTTCTGACTTGCACATGTTAACTGTTCCTCCAGAAGCTAGACAAGAAGGGGGCAGGCACATGGTTGTCCAGAAAAGCGTTTGGACAGCTCAGGGCTGCCAGGCAGTCCATAGAACTGGCACGCAACCCCAGTATCGGCACCTCTGCACCCTCGAAGTGGCTGTCAGGCCCCCACTGTGCTGAACACATTGAGTTGGTAAGGTGTCCTGTCGATGGCCAGAGTTCAGAGAGTAAACCCCTGTGCCCCGGGAGTTCTGGCAACCCTGCGACCTGTGCCACCAAGTGTCACGCTCGCCCACTGACGGGCTTTGCTGTGCTTGACAGGGTTGATGACTTGGTAAAGATGGCACTTGCGGAGCTCACACGTTGTATGGTCCTAAGTGCCTAATCAGGAGTGGGGGTTGCTGAATCAGCACCCAGAAACCCTAGGCCTTTGTCTGAGGCTGGTTTTCATACTAGTTGGACTTGAGTACAAGCTGTTAAAGAGAGTCATGCCTCACACAAACACAGACTTAGTGGTACGTCGCATTCCTGAAGGACTCGGAAACTAACATGGAAGGCTTGTTTTCAAGGAGTGCTGGTGAAGAACGAGGGTTCTGTGAGGTACCCACACCTGAGAGGCATCCTTGTTGAGTAGTGAGTAGAGCTAGACAGACATGGGGGGACGGAAAGCAGACACCCCCAGGATGTCAAACACCAAGAAACTCTGAGTCACTTGGATTCCTTACAGTGCTTCTTGGTGACGGTTGTTGTTGTTGTTGTTGTTGTTATGTGCCATCGAGTCTGACCCAACTCATAGCGACCCCTCCTTGGGTTTCCGAGGCAGTATCACTACGGAAGTAGATTGCCCCATCTTCCTTCCGAGGAGTGGCTGGTGGGTTTGAACCACCAGCCTTCTGGTTAGCAGTCAAGTGCTTTAGCCACTATGCTACCAGAGCTCCCTGGTGACAGTTAGTGAGAGATAAAGTGTGCTTTCTGCATTTGAGCTCTTAGAGGCTTTAAAAACCAAGACCCGGCCCACAGCCATCAAGTCAGTTCTGACCCACAGCACCCCTGAAGGACAGAGTGCAACTGCCCCAGTGGGTTTCCAAGGCTGTCAATCTTTACAGAAGCAAAGCCCAAACCAAACCCACTGCCATGGAGTCGATTCTTACAGCGCCCCTAGTGGACAGAGTAGAACTGCCCACATAGAGTTTCCTGGGCTGCCAACCTTCAGAGAAGCAAATGACCACATCTTTGTCCTGTGGAGCAGCTGGTGGGTTCAAACCACTGACTTCACAGTTTGCAGCCAAGTGCCGAGCCACCGTGCCACCAGGGTTCCTTCAGGATTTTAAAGACCTTCGGAATAACAGTCACCCAAAGCAAGTCTTACAGCATCAGAGACAGATTACCAGGAAGCCAGTCCCTCATTGCTAATTTCATGTACATAACCTTAGCATCCCTTCCTTAAAGAAGCCTCCTAAAATGATAGCTGTTTTCAGCCCCACAAATCCCTTACGATGGATTATAAACTATGCCAACTTTCAAAAGCAGAGAGCCACCAAAGCAGTACTCAGACACCCGCAGGTGTCCATCCACTCAGACGAGCTCGTCTGTGGGGTGACCAGATTTGAGGGCAGGAGGTACTTCCCTGGGGGCAGACCGCCGGCAGGAAGAGCTCCAAAGCTGTGGGCTCATTCTGTGGCTGGGGTTTCTGAATATTCAAAAACAAATTTAAAACCTGCAGTGAGAATGATGGTTACTACTGTAGCGTTCTCTGGTTTCTCGTGGGATGATTCGGCAGTGACTATGAAAATCGACCAGAAGAAAATAGAATAGTTCTTGGGTAGACTCTGAGGTCCACCCAGAAACGGGAGTTAGCACGTTGGCACAGAAAATTCAGACGAGTCCTTCACGGTGGCCCCCTTGTCACCTAATTCACGTTTTGCACCTTCTCTTCTGTAAATAATTCAGGAAATGCATTGACAGATTTTCAGTGTGGTGCTTTTTCAGGAACGTTTGTAGCTAACATTAGAGACACGTTTTGTTTATTTCACAATCCTGCCAGCCCGTTTGTGTTCGTGTTTTTGCTGAAGTGGGAACGTGTGAGAGGCCCCCGCACGTTGCTGCATCTGGGGAGCTGAGCTTCGGTTCTCTGCGGTAGCCGAGGGGTTTCCTGGAAATCTGGAATGAACAGAGGGCACTCCGGGGTCACTCACACGTCCCAGGAATTGATGCAAAACTAATCCCGATTTACTCCTGGAAGACTCTGTTTGCCTAAGTATTTAAAAACAGATTAGGGCTAACCTGACACTGGATTACCAGGGGCAGTGTCAACAGGTGGCCAGAGTGTCAACACGGCCCTTTCTGTCCTTCAGAGGAAACCGGTCCCTGGAGATGAGATTCCTTTCAGCGCCGCCGGCCCCGAGTGCCTTCTGGGGTGTGCTCCACAGCTCTGTGCTGCACCACCCCCTGGAGAGAGTGCTGGGTTTGGGGCCTGGGCAGCTGTGAGTCAGGGTGTGACTGAGGTCGCTGCAGGTGCTAACGGCCACCTTCCCCTCTCTCCTCATCTCCCCGGTCCCAGCATCTGCCCAGGCCTCAGGGTGCAGCACCGGGAGCGGCCCTGGCTGCTGAGGCTTGCTTATCTCAGGAGCCACTTATAAAATCTCACTTTGGTCTTCACGTTTCTGTGGCATTTTTATTCCCATGATGCTGCACACGGCTGAGGGCTGCTGTGTGGTTTGCAACCTCTCTTGCCTCCATCCTTCTTCAAGAAATCAAAACCAGTCGTCCAGAGCAGCCGCACAGCCCCTCCTTCCCTCCCTCCATCCTTCTGTCTTTGCTTCTCTCCTTCCGTCTCCCTCCCTTTCCCCATTTCCTCCCTCTCCCTCCCTTCTCCCTGTCTCACCCACACCCACACCCACATGAACTCAGGCCCATGCACACCCACACGGTAAACTGAGAGCATTGCCACACAGCTCCCCACCTAGCCAAGCGTCCTTTAACCCAGTCTCCCCATTTCTGCTGCAGTGGTCAAGCTGACCTCAAGCCTGCGTAGTTGAAGCATGCTGGTCCCACCCGTGGGGTGGCTCCCCCAGGCACCATGAAACCGAGTGAGTGGTCCAGGTCTCAGCCTTAGGCCAGAGGGTCTCATGCCTTGGTGCATCAGCCCCCACAGGGTCCGAGACCCCCGCAGACTCCGAGTGGCAGGCTGGGCTGGGCCCCAGCACCAGAGTCCCCAACCATTCCCGAGTGGTACTGGCGCTGCTGGTCGGAGCGGCTGTCGACACACCTCCCCCATGTGGTCACCCTGTGGGCACTACGCCCTCGGTCCTCTGGCCGCTGTGGACGCGTCTGTGCGGTGCCTTTACAGGGAGGAGAAGGAGCGGTGGATCCGCGCCAAGTACGAGCAGAAGCTCTTCCTGGCCCCGCCACCCTCCTCGGAGCTGTCCCTGGGTCAGCACCTGCTGCGGGCCACCGCGGACGAGGACCTGCGCACGGTCATCCTGCTGCTGGCCCATGGCTCCCGGGACGAGGTGAACGAGACGTGCGGCGAGGCCGACGGCCGCACGGCCCTGCACCTGGCCTGCCGGAAGGGCAACGTGGTCCTGCTGCAGCTGCTCATTTGGGTAGGTGGCTTCTCCCACCCTCCCCGGGACACCCCCACCCTCCCCGGGACACCCCCACCCTCCCCGGCACTCCCTCACCCTCCCCGGGACACCCCCACCCTCCCCGGGACACCCCCACCCTCCCCGGGACACCCCCACCCTCCCCGGCACTCCCTCACCCTCCCCGGGACACCCCCACCCTCCCCGGCACTCCCTCACCCTCCCTGGAACACCCCCACCGGCGCCCACCTGGCCCAGCCATGATCCGAGGCCTTGTGGGTGTATACTCTGTTGGGTCTGCGTCCACAGCATCTTTCTGCCCGAAGGTTGCCTTAGTCAGGATTCTCCAGAGAAACCCAACCAGTGGGAGGTAGACAGACTGAGTTTTTGGGAGTGGCTTACATGGCTGTGGCGGCCACTCCAAAACCCGTATGTCAGGAGGCAGAGTAGACAGCTCATCAGTCTTGTCTCCAGGAGCCCTGTGAGAGGCAGGCTGGACACTCGGTGAGGTACCTGTGTCCGTGCTGACCAGAAGCTCCCCGTGAGCTCCTTCTGCCCTGAAGGCCTTCAGTGGATTGGCGGAGGGCCAGCCATGTCGTGCCGGGTGGTCTGCCTTCCCTGAGGCCAGCAGATTGTCGGTGGCCATCCTGTAGCCACCTCTCCAACAGCGGCTAGACAAGCGTTTGGCCGCACCACGGCACGGCCATGCTGACGTGCAGTTAACCGTCACAGAGGTGACCGCCCCAGTCTGAAGACGGGAAGTCACTGTAGTTGGGGATTTAGGCTCAAACTGTGCCTTCTGGGCCCCTCATCTCCTGTATGCTTCCTCCTCTTGATGATCCTCCTTTTCAGGTCAAGAGTGGCTGGTGGTGCCCATCTTTTTCATTTTGCAGAAACTCCTTGTTTTGGTGGTAGGGGGTGGAGTGGTGGTGGACATGGACTGGTCGTGGCTTGCCCACTGCCCCACCTCTGAGGCGTCCCACTTAACACAAAGCCCCCAGGCCTGGACTTGGAGACGTGATAGGCCTGAATTTGCAAAAGGCTCCTTCTGGACTATTCTGATTGCTACTGAGAAAAAAAAAACTAATTTCCTTTGAAGTGTTTGTCATGAAGCTTGAGTGACAAAGACAGACCCTATGCTGGCCAGCCATGAGCAGCTCTGAAGAAGGCCACATACCCACACGGTGGCAGCCAGGACACCTCTGGGGACATCAGCTGCAGGGAACCCCATCAGGGCAGCAGAAAAGCTGCCTGGGTGGGGAGCCTAGGGCTGGGCCACCACTGCGGGGGACTCTCCTGTCCCCACCCCCAGGCAGAAGATGGAGTCTGTCCCCCACAGAAGAGCAACGCAAGTTTCCATGTGTGTGTCTGTCTGGGTTTGGTGTGGGGTTTTTTTTTTTTTTTTTTAATACATTTTCTTCAGGGCAGTTTAAGGTTTTCATACAAATTGGGTAGAAAGTACATGGAGTTCCCACCCACTCCTCTCCCCGGGCACACTGTGGCACATTTGTCGTAGCTGACACCCACTCTCGATACACTGGCACTCACTAAAGCCACAGGTTAGGTGAGGGCTGCTATGTGCACCACCGTGAGGGTCTAACTGATACACAGTATATCGTGTGTCCACCACGCATGTACCTCAGAGTACTTCACTGCTCTCACCATGTCCCAGGCCCACCTAGTCACACACACCCCCGCCCTGCTCTGGATTTGTAATCTGACATCTTTGAGGGGCAGCAGGGAAGCTACAGGCAGTCCCAGAGTTACAAATGTCCTACTTACGTACAACCCAGAGTTACGAACCAACCCCTGTGTCTCTCCTTGAGTGCAACTCAGAGACAGTGGACGGGAAAGAGCGGAGTGGCGGCCCACCTTGCCCTGGGCTGGCCCCGAAGCAGCCTATAGGTGTTCCCCACACTCACCCAGCCTGGGATCCTGTGGCGCCCACCTCAAACCAAGCTCAGAGCAATGGCAGCATGTGGGGTGCTCAGGCTGGCCAGTGGGCGGTGCCTCCACTGTAGACATGCCTCCCCACCTCAACCAGTTCTGGCTGGACCTGGACCTGGGCCTGGCATTGGGCTGGAGGGGCCCGCGTGGAGAGGCTGCTGGTGTGGACTGTCTGTCCATCAAAATCACTGGAGAAGTTTCAGCTTGTACTCACTGGTGGAGCACATGACTTGATGCAAATTAGGCAACAGTGGTGGCTGTCTTTCCTTCTCAGATCGGCCAAGATCTCCCTCAGTGCTAACACAGCATGCTGGCAACACTCCTGAACGGCGTGTCCAGGTGGAAGTACAAGCTAACCACCTTTTCAAAAGGAAGAGGCTTTTAGTGGTGTCGTGTTCCTACCCCAGTGATTCTACTGGTGGCCATCACCCTAACAACCAAACACCAAACAAAGCAGCTGTCATAGAATCACTTCCAACTCACAGCGACCCTGCAGGACAGAGTAGAAGTGTCCCATAGGGTCTCCAAGGCTGTCAATCTGTACGGAAGCAAACTGTCACATGTTTCTCCCACAGACAGGCTGTGGGTTCGAACCACCAACCTTTTGGTTAGCAGTGGACTGCTAACCACTTCTCCACCAGAGTGCCCCTAACAATCCACAGATCTGACAAAGGTTTGAACGAGCATCCACGTCACAGCCTTCTGTACAGCCGTGGCACCTTTGAAACAAATGAGGTGCCAGCAACTGAGGGTGGGATCACTCTTCATATGGTGGATGGTCCATGGCTGTGTTGAATACTGTTCAGTGATGTGAGGAGATGCCCACAGCACAGGGTTCAGTGAGAGAAGAAGTGACACAGATTATCCATGTGGTTTTATGTCAATGACACGTTGGAATTCCAGGGAAAGTGTTAGGAGGGGCTGTGCTCAAGGGCAGACAAGGTGGAAGGTGCTGCACGAGTTTCTTCTTGTGCCGTTATGTTCTGCACACACTGCCCACGAGAAGGAATTGTCTCTAAGGTCAAAAGTGATTAATTTCTGTTTTCACGATTAGTCAAAGTTCAATTAGCTCAACTGCAGTTCTTATTGGTCTGTTTATTCCCGAGGATAGGCTTTCAGTTGGGAGGAACACAGTTCCCCTTAAGAGAGAGTGCTAGTAGCTCGGTCTCCCACCTCCCCACCCGGCTCACCTGTCCAGGGGCCCAGCTACATAAGCCATACCCTGGCCGAGTGCAGGGGCCCAGAATGCTTCCTTCCCGCCTCTCTCACCTCCACCCTCATCACCTCCCCTCTCCTTCACTTCCCCTCTGCCCCACCTCCCTCATCACTTTCCCTCCCCCACCTTCCTTCCCCATCCCCTCCTCTCCCCCACCTC